GATGTACCTGCTAGCCATAAGGAAATGTGATAAGAGTGTGAGATGTACCTGTAGCAGCCATAAGGAAATGTGATAAGAGATGTGTGAGATGTACCTGCTTAGCAGCCATAGGAAATGTGATAAGAGAGATGTGTGAGATGTACCTGTAGCAGCCATAAGGAAATGTGATAAGAGGTGTGTAGAGATGTACCTGTAGCAGCCATAAGGAAATGTGATAAGAGATGTGTAGAGATGTACCTGCTTAGCAGCCATAAGGAAATGTGATAAGAGATGTGAGATGTACCTGTATAGCAGCCATAAGGAAATGTGATAAGAGGTGTGTAGAGTGTACCTGTAGCAGCCATAAGGAAATGTGATAAGAGGTGTGTAGAGATGTACCTGCTTAGCAGCCATAAGGAAATGTGATAAGAGGTGTGTAGGGGAATAGCACCTGTAGCCATAAGGAAATGTGATAAGAGATGTGTAGAGATGTACCTGTAGCAGCCATAAAATGTGATAAGAGGTGTGTGAAGAGATGTACCTGCAGCAGCCATAAGGAAATGTGATAAGAGGTCTGTGAGATGTACCTGCAGCAGCCATAAGGAAATGTGATACAGCCATTCATTTGTAAACATCTTTTGAGGCTCCACTTGTATGATGACCTTATAGGTGATAATAAATGATCTCATTAAAGTGATAATTAATGATCTCAGTTAAGTGATAATTATTAATATCAGTTAAGTGATAATTATTGATCTCAGTTAAGTGATAATTATTGATCTCAGTTAAGTGATAATTTTTGATCTCAGTTAAGTGATAATTAATGATCTCAGTTAAGTGATAATTAATGATCTCAGTTAAGTGAAAATATGTGATCTCGGTTAAGAGATAATTAATGATCTCAGTTATGTGATAATTATTTATCTCAGTTAAGTGATAATTAGTGATCTCAGCTAAGTGATAATTAATTATCTCAGTTAAGTGATAATTATTGATCTCAGTCAAGTGATAATTAATGATCTCAGTTAAGTGAAAATATGTGATCTCGGTTAAGAGATAATTAATGATCTCAGTTTAGTAATAATTAGTGATCTCAGTAAAGTGATAATTATTGATCTCAGTTAAATGCAAATAAGTGATCTGAGGACGACGTCACCAGCCAGTAAGTATTTTTGACTATTGTTGATAATAGTGAAGATGTTGTTCCAGGCTCAACAGCTACCTGATGAAATTTATCCATAGAAGATAAAAGATTTCTTACCTCTTGAAGCAGACATTAAGTGCAGGAGGAATGAATACTTTTGGGTTAATAAGTTGCCAACACTTACTAATATATTGAGGCTCATATAGGGAGAAACAAACAAATACAGCATTTTCACCAGAATTTTATATTATCCAGGAGCTATGGTGGGGACGTGTGGGCCAGGGGTCGCCGTAGGGAGTACCCTAGCAGTAGTAGTGTTTCTTTGGGCCGCTCCTACACTGTAGGAGCTCTAGGACAGCAGGGTGCCATACAGGAACTCCAACTGTTTTGCAGTTAATACACTTCTGTTGAATGACACCCCCTTGAGCAACTGTATCTCTGCAACCCTGTGTTGCATGTTGTCTTGAGCAGAGACCACACCATGGCCCCAGTGTTGACAATTGAAACACCTCCGGGTAGGGGGCTGAGAGAGAGTTACCTTCAGAGTCCGATAGGCACCACGGACTCGAATGGTCTTGGGTGGGTCTTCCGAGCCAACCCAGTCTGCAATGACTGCATTCTTGCCCCTGAGTCGCTTCGTCCTTCTGATGGTGGGATGAGCTTCGAGTAGTGTAGGGGTCTGGTACTGGTCGAGCCCTATGATTAAGATGGTTTTCTTGCTCACGATTTGAATTGAATTGAAACAGTTTATTTGGCTAATCTCTGAATGCAAGGTGGATAATTATAATATTAACATGGCTGAGCCAGTTGAGAACCTGAATCTCTTTAGGGCACCTGATATATACTATACATTTTTCTCAAAGGAAGTATTATACCTTATTTAGTATCATCTAGAATGATACCAATAGCATGGTGGTAATAAGAACATCTCTTAATGTTACAGTTATCACTTCAATATTTATTAATTTTATTTTATTTATTATTTTTTATATATACACAAATTACAGTGGAATTGAGAAAAACATAAGTATAATGGGAGGTAGTACAACCTGGGTTGTGGCACATTATGGAAGTGGAACAAGAGGACAGAGCTGTCAGGATTATGTCTAGTTGGCAATTATGTTTATTGCAATGGTCATTACTTATCTATTTACATGATAATTTCCGATAAAACAGGTTTTGATGGTGCAGTAAAAGCAGATACTTGTAAAATATAGTAGGTATTACAAGAAATATTAATGCTCCAGAACCAATGAATATTTTTGAAGAGATGATTTAAAGGAAGGGCGTAGTCTTTGCTCGGATGTGTGGGGGTAAGTTGTTCACACCTTCACCATAATATTTTATGGAGGTCTGGGACTTTGAAGACTTTGTGAAGGGTGGTCTTAGTAGCTCTGGGTGCCTTAAGTTGTATCTCTCTACAGTTATTCCGGAACTGGAAATAATTGTTAAAGCAAGTGATTGATAGATTTGTAAACAAAGAGGGCACAGCAGTAAGTGTTAATATCTTTGAGATTTATTTATTTTCAATATGTAAATTTTTTCTTTTGTGTGATCTGTTTTTTCAAGTAGGTCATTGTCCGTACAACTCTCTTTTGTGCAGTAACCAGGAATTGTGTTTTGAAAAGGCCGGGAAGCTGTATATGGTGTGTGACAAGAACATCAGACAGCAATGAATTTTAAACTGCTGTGAGAGTGGTGACTATGAGTGTTATACAGGATACCGCACTGTTTATTGACTTTACTGTGAATGGCTTGTGGTTTCTCCAGTTCGTTTCTCATCAACAATAACTCCAAGGAATTTAATTTGTTTGCGTTTGAGGACTGTAATACCGAGTACAGGGGGTCCAAGTCTGGGAGTAAGTTTTCCTTCTGTGAAAGATCGTGTAGTGGGTTTCTCAGGTTTAAAGTCAGTTTACGTATTACCCAGGTCCCAAGGAATGGAGGTCTGAGTTGCTGGCATAGAGATTGCTATCGTCTGCAAATAAGTTGTCTTTTATGAGTGAGCTGGAGTGGACTATGTCGTTTATGTACAACAAAACAGTACTGGACTGAGAATGGAACCTTGGGGGACTCCCATACAAGATTAGCGAGAGTCAGATTGGTGGTTATTATAGCAGACATAGATGCTTCCTGTTGGACAGGTATAAAATTAAACCATTTGTGAGACAGGCTCCTAACGCCGTAATGTTTCAAGCTTTGAAAGGAGGATGGTATGGTCTAGAGCAGTATGGAAGGCTTTAGAGGTCAAACCTGCGACTAACAGAGACTGACTGTCATCAAAGGAATTTAAGATGTCATTAGTAAAAAAAAGGATGGCAGAGCACTCTCAGTCGACCAAGCTACAATAAATCCAAACTGGGAGTCTATACAAGATGTTATTGGCATTACTAGATTTGGTCTACTACATGCTAGCTTCTCCAGTATCTTACTCAAGGCTGGAAGGACTGATATTCTTGAAGACAGCTGTCCCTGAAAGATTTTTATATATGCTGGGTGAACTTTAGCAATTTTCAGTTTTATCGGGGAAAGACACCACTGGTGAGGAGGAGTTACAAATGTGTAGGAGAACAGGTAGTAATAAGTGGGCTACTCTCTTAATGATGTTCATTGGTATATTGTCTTCTTCGCCTGCTGCTGCATCTTTTTGGACATATTTATATTTATTGATAATTCATCGACAGGGGGATAAAAACAGCTCTCATTTGCTGTCTGTTTTACAGGTAGGCTCTAAATTCCTCATGGTGATCAGGGATGCTCTCTGCAAAATTTTTACCAACATTAATAAGATATTCATTGAGTGGTTGGCTTGGCAATGGAGGAGGAGTTCCGTTATAAGCAGGATCATTTATCCTCTAAAAAGCTGAGTGGAATGATAGAAGGCTGGTGTTCCTGTTCTGAATAGAATGTATGACATTCCGGGTTTCCTTCTGTCGCCTGATGCTGGCTACAGGAGCATTTGTATAATATGGTTACGTCTGGCGTTCTAACTGCTCAGTTACTCTATTTCTGTTGATACTTCGGTAAGCATCACCGAAAGTTATGGGTCTGTTTGCAAATTTCCTTTGTGTTTTTCTTTTTATCATTATCTTAATTTCGCTTGTGATATGGGGTTTGGAAATGGATACAGTTTTCCGCTATTGACTTAGTCTTGAGCTGGAAGCATTTATCAAAACAAGCATTGAAGATGCAGAGAAGTTGCAGCTGTTCACGTTAGGAGTTCATCCAGGCATAGACAAGATCCAGTTAGCATTCATTTGGTTTGTTTTAAAAAAGGAGCTTATTGTCGGTGCAGTAGTCTCTATATTACATGCTGAGACTCTACTAGACTTCCAGGTCTTGTGGCTATTTATACATGGCAAAAACTGGGAAGTGATCTGAGATATTGTTATAAATAATTCCACTTGCAAGGTTGTTAGGAGTGTTGATAGTCCAGATACGATCTATCAGTGGCAGAGGTGAGGTTACTCTAATTGGGTTTGAAGTTTACGCGAAGTATTTGAAGAAAAGGACAAGCAGGTTAGCAAAAGAAGGTCTAAACACTGAAAGAATTATGTCGGTTTCTGATTTTAATAGATCAAGGTTGAAATCTCCTGTAATGTAGCAACCACTCTCGACTTTATGATGGCAGTGATTAGCTCCGAAAGAATTTATCAAGAAAAATTCCTTACATTGGTGAGAGGTCTTCTGTATGAATTATTCCTGCACTAAGTTCGTGTGTCGTTACGTAATTCAGTGAAAACCTCTCCCTGTACTCCTCCTGAACCTTTAAATCATCTCTTACAGAAGTGTTATGCTTGATATCAACATATAGGGCAACTATAACATTAGCTGACATGATGTCATTACAAATTGGGACTATTCTACAAATGGTAAAATGTCGCTAGTGAGTTTGGTCTCTGGAGACAAAAGTACATCAAATTTGTGGGCAATAGAAGATAAACACTGATCAAAGGAGTATCTAGATGAAGGGGAATACTCCTGATGTTATGTAATCAAGGAGGAAAGGGAATGAGGTAGTAGGAGACTAGAACTAAACTCAGGAGAGTCAGGAAGTAATAGTTACAGTTAGGTTGGTGTAACCAGTGAGTTTTGTAGGAGAAGTGTGGCATTACTTTAAATTCTTAGTAAGTCGTAGTTTTTAATGAGTTTCCTGTAGTAAAATTTGTTTCTAACTCGTTTATGGTCTTACAGGTTACAACTTCAGAAGCATCTGTGGTAAGTACAAAAACAAAAATGTTTTGGTTTAAAATACAAATCCATTTAGGTAAAAATTAAAGTTACTTTGAAATAAACATAAAAATAATGAGCTTTATGATTACAGTTTGATTTATTCTTCATATTATAAAGGGGATAAAGTTTGAATCCATCCTTGCTTTATCACGGAGCAGAATTTATTTTTTTATTGGCTGCATCTTACTAACCCTGCAGACCGTACAGTACCAGTAACTATCGGTGCTGACAGCAGGTCTGACATAAATCGGCTTATAACAATGTTAAGGTGGTTTGGGTTAGGTTACTATGTATAGGTTTAATTCAAAGTATAAATAACACCTAGAATGAGGTTTATAGAGGTACTAGTGTTTGTGTCTCAGGTCGGTAAGGTTCATGTATTTTAATACAATATAAAATGAAAATAATCAGCAGATGACATCCATATATATTTCACTTCACTACATATAATTTTACTGTATCTATAGAATTTATTTTAAGTGCAGGTAAAGGTCTTGTGTAATTTATAGTACAATACAAATGTAATTTTCATCGGATACAGAAAATACAGTATTTCAGTGCAACACATATTTATTTTCAGATGATAGACCACCACTTTTCTATCTAAATTAAGTGCACAGTTTATTGTGGGTGGAGGTAAGGTTCGTGTATAGATTTTAGTGCAACAGTTTTCTATAATTATTTTCAGGATCAAATAAAAATTGTTTGTATGTGAATTTCGGTGACATCACTTTTGACTTTTTGGTGATAGAAAAATATTGTATATCTTTCTGTTCAGTTTAAACACAAATATATCGTTTAAAGATTGAGAACCTGTGTATTTATGGTATGTAGTATCTTGTTGCAGCACAATATTTTTTTTAAATTCAAATATTTTTCAGGTTTAGATAAAGTTCAAGTATTTCCTTTAATACAGCAGAAAGCAAAGCATTTCTTTTGTCACATTCTTTTTTTTCATCCGTCCAAATACCTTTTTCTTTTCGTTCACACAGGTGAAGTTTACTGAAAAACACAAAAGCAATTACAGTGTTCTTTCTGTTGGCTCACACAGATGTAAATAATCTCCAGCCAAAGATAATCATTGGACAGTAATGTACTAACGTTCCCTAAACAACACCTGCAGTATTTTTTATCAATACAAATGCCTTCAAAAATATGAGCACGAAAATTGAGTACAGGTTTGTGCATCCATTGAGAGCGAACTCAATACTGAGCCTGAGCACAGTGAGGGTTACTGTATAACACATTAGACTTTTGTACAACACAGTGATAACTTTTGGTCTAGTCTTATAGAAGTTAGTACATGTGAAGTAAAACTGACTCTATTTTATTAAAGACTTCCTCTAGAGCCTTCACCAGTGGGCCAAAGTCTCCAGAGTTTCACCCCAGTGTACAAGTCAACCTTATCTGTGTTAGCTGAGGGTTTAGAAAAAGGTTTAACAAGTCCTCTGGTGGATATCATCAGTTTGGTTTAGTCTTGAGCAGAACTTATTTAGGTTCTAGATATTCTACGGCAGGGGTTTAGCTGGTCTTCAAGGTCATCGTCGGGTCTGGTCCTCGTCGGGTCCGGGTCCTCGTCGGTTCCAGGTCCTCGTCGGGTCCCGCTCGTCGGGTCCAGGTCTCGTCAGTCCACAGGTCTCGTCGGGTCTGGTCCTCGTCGGGTCCCAGGTCCTCGTCAGGTCCACAGGTCCTCGTTGGTTCCGGGTCCTCGTCAGGTCCGGTCCTCGTCGGGTCCACAGGTCCTCGTTGGTTCCACAGTTCTCGTCGGCAGGTCCTCGTCGGTCACGGTCCTCGTCGGGTCCACAGGTCGTCGGTCCGAGTCCTCGTCAGGTCTAGGTCTCGTCAGGTCACAGGTCCTCGTCGAGTCCACAGGTCCTCGTCAGGTCTAAGGTCCTCGTCAGGTCTGGTCTCGTCGGGTCCACAGGTCCTCGTTGGTTCACAGTTCCTCGTCAGTTCAACCTGTCTCGACGGGTCCACAGGTCCTCGTCAGGTCCCAGGTCCTCGTCGGGTCCATAGGTCTCTCGGGTCCACAGGTCCTCGTTGTTTCCAGTTCTCGTCGTTCAACCTGTCCCCGGGTCCACAGGTCTCGTCAGGTCCACAGGTCCTCGTCAGGTCCACAGGTCCTCGTCGGGTCCCAGGTCTCGTTGGTTCCACAGGTCCTCGTCAGGTCCACAGGTCTCATCAGGTCCATAGGTCTCGTCAGGTCCACAGGTCCTCGTCGGTCCCAGGTCCTCGTCGGGTCCACAGGTCCTCGTCGGGTCCACAGTCCTCGTTGGTTCCCAGGTCCTCGTCAGGTCCAGGTCCTCGTCGGGTCCACAGGTCTCGTCAGGTCTGGTCTCGTCAGGTCCACAGGTCTCGTCGGGTCCACAGGTCTCGTTGGTTCCACAGGTCCTCGTCAGGTCCAGGTCTCGTTGGTTCTCATTCCTCGTCAGTTACCTTCGTCTCGTCGGGTCTGGGTCTCGTCAGGTCCACAGTCCTCGTCAGGTCCAGGTCCTCTCGTCGGTCCTGAGTCCTCGTTGTTCCACAGGTCTCGTCAGGTCCAGAGTCCTCGTCGGGTCCACAGGTCCTCGTTGGGTCAGGTCCTCGTCGGGTCCACAGGTCTCGTCGGGTCCACAGGTCTCGTCAGATGGGTCCTCGTCAGGTCCACAGGTCCTCGTCGGGTCCACAGGTCCTCGTCAGGTCCCAGGTCCTCGTCGGGTCCACAGGTCCTCGTCAGTTCCTGGTTCCTCGTCAGGTCCACAGGTCCTCGTCGGGTTCCACAGGTCCTCGTCAGGTCCAGGTCCTCGTCAGGTCCACAGGTCCTCGTCGGGTCCACAGGTCTCGTCAGTCCCAGTCTCTCGGGTCGTTCCTCGTCGGGTCCCAGGTCCTCGTCAGGTCCACAGGTCTCGTTGGTTCCACATTCCTCGTCAGTTCAACCTGTCTCGTCGGGTCACAGGTCCTCGTCAGGTCCACAGGTCTCGTCGGGTCCCAGGTCCTCGTCGGGTCCAGGTCCTCGTTGGTTCCACAGTTCCTCGTCAGTTCAACCTGTCCCCGCCGGGTCCCGGGTCTCGTCAGGTCCCAGGTCCTCGTCAGGTCCACAGGTCCTCGTCGGGTCCACAGGTCCGTTGGTTCCACAGGCCTCGTCAGGTCCACAGGTCCTCATCAGGTCCACAGGTCCTCGTCAGGTCCACAGGTCTCGTCAGGTCCACAGGTCCTCGTCGGGTCCACAGGTCCTCGTCGGGTCCACAGGTCCTCGTTGGTTCCACAGGTCCTCGTCAGGTCCACAGGTCCTCGTCGGGTCCACAGGTCTCGTCGGGTCCACAGGTCCTCGTCAGGTCCACAGGTCCTCGCCGGGTCCACAGGTCCTCGTTGGTTCCACAGGTCCTCGTCAGGTCCACAGGTCCCGTTGGTTCCACAGTTCCTCGTCAGTTCAACCTGTCCTCGTCGGGTCCACAGGTCCTCGTCAGGTCCACAGGTCCTCGTCAGGTCCACAGGTCCTCGTCGGGTCCACAGGTCCTCGTTGGTTCCACAGGTCCTCGTCAGGTCCACAGGCCTCGTCGGGTCCACAGGTCCTCGTTGGGTCCACAGGTCCTCGTCGGGTCCCACAGGTCCTCGTCGGGTCCACAGGTCCCGTCGGTCCACAGGTCCTCGTCGGGTCCACAGGTCCTCGTCGGGTCCACAGGTCCTCGTCAGGTCCACAGGTCCTCGTCGTCCACAGGTCCTCGCGTTCCCTCGTCAGGTCCACAGGTCCTCGTCGGGTCCACAGGTCCTCGTCGGGTCCACAGGTCCTCGTCAGGTCCACAGGTCCTCGTCGGGTCCACAGGTCCTCGTCAGGTCCACAGGTCCTCGTCGGGTCCACAGTCCTCGTCGGGTCCACAGGTCCTCGTCAGGTCCACAGGTCCTCGTTGGTTCCACAGTTCCTCGTCAGTTCAACCTGTCCTCGTCGGGTCCACAGGTCCTCGTCAGGTCCACAGGTCCTCGTTGGTTCCACAGTTCGTCAGTTCAACCTGTCCTCGTCGGGTCCACAGGTCCTCGTCGGGTCCACAGGTCCTCGGGGTCCACAGGTCCCGTCAGATCCACAGGTCCTCGTCGGTCCACAGGTCCTCGTCAGTTCAACCTGTCCTCGTCGGGTCCACAGGTCTCCCGTCGGGTCCACAGGTCCTCGTCGGGTCCACAGGTCCTCGTCAGGTCCACAGGTCCTCGTCGTCCACAGGTCCGTCGGGTCCACAGGTCCTCGTCGGGTCCACAGGTCCCTCGTCGGGTCCACAGGTCCTCATTGGTTCCACAGATCCCCGTCGGGTCCACAGGTCTCGTCAGTTCAACCTGTCCTCGTCGGGTCCACAGGTCCTCGTCAGTTCAACCTGTCCTCGTCAGGTCCACAGGTCCTCGTCGGGTCCACAGGTCCTCGTTGGTTCCACAGGTCCTCGTCAGGTCCACAGGTCCTCGTCGGGTCCAGGTCCTAGTCAGGTCCACAGGTCCTCGTCAGGTCCACAGGTCCTCGTCGGTCCACAGGTCCTCGTCAGGTCCACAGGTCCTCGTCGGGTCCACAGGTCCTCGTCGGGTCCACAGGTCCCTCGTCGGTCCACAGGTCCTCGTCGGTCCGCAGGTCCTCCCTCGGGTCCACAGGTCCCTCGTCAGGTCCACAGGTCCTAGTCAGGTCCACAGGTCCTCGTCAGGTCCACAGGTCCTCGTCGGGTCCACAGGTCCTCGTCAGGTCCACAGGTCCTCGTCGGGTCCACAGGTCCTCGTCGGGTCCACAGGTCCTCGTCAGGTCCACAGGTCCTCGTCGGGTCCACAGGTCCTCGTCAGGTCCACAGGTCCTCGTCGGTCCACAGGTCCCTGTCGGGTCCACAGGTCCTCGTCGGGCCACAGGTCCTCGTCGGGTCCGCAGGTCCTTGCCGGGTCCACAGGTCCTAGTCAGGTCCACAGGTCTCGTCAGGTCCACAGGTCCTCGCCGGGTCCACAGGTCCCGTTCGTTCCACAGGTCCTCGTCGGGTCCACAGGTCCTAGTCAGGTCCACAGGTCCTCGTCAGGTCCACAGGTCCCCGTCGTCCAGGTCCTCGTCGGGTCCACAGGCGTCCTCGTCGGGTCCACAGGTTCCGTCGGGTCCGTACCTCGTCGGGTCTGCAGGTCCTCGCCGGGTCCACAGGTCTCTGTCGGGTCCACAGGTCCCCGTCGGGTCCACAGGTCTCGTCGGGTCCACAGGTCTCGTCGGGTCCGCAGGTCCTCGTCGGGTCCGCAGGTCTCTCGCCGGGTCCAGAGGTCCTCGCCGGGTCCACAGGTCTCGCCGGGTCCACAGGCCTTGCCGGTCCACAGGTCTCGTCGGGTCCACAGGTTCTGCCGGGTCCACAGGTCTCGTCAGGTCCACAGGTCTCGCCGGGTCCACAGGCCCGCTAAGTGGCAGCTATGGTGGTTGCGGTAGCTATGATGGCGGTGGCGGCAGCTTGTATGGCGGCGCAGTTGTGGTGGCAATGGTGTTTATGCAGCTATGATGGCGGTGGTAAATTATAATGTTACGGCAGCTACGGTGACTCGGTGGCTGTGGCAGCTCACGTGGTGGCAGCTGTGGTGGCTATGGCAGCTATGGTGCGTGTGCTATGGCAGCTATGGTGGCTATGGTGGCTATGTCGAATATGGTGGCTATGACAGCTATGGTGGCTATAGCAGCTATGGTGGCTATGGTACTATGTCGAATATGGTGGTTATGGCAGCTGATTGGCTATGGCAGCTATGGTGGCTATGGTGGCTATGGTGCTATGGCAGCTATGGTGGTATGGTGGCTATGGTGCCTATGGCAGCTATGGTGGCTATGGTGGCTATGCGGCTATGGTGGCTATGATGACAGCTATGGTGGCTATGGCGACTGGTGCTATGCCAGCTATGGCATCTGTAATTGGCTATGGTGGTTGTGTGCAGCCATGGTGGCTATGGCGGCTGCAACTTGGCATTGGTAATATGGTGACTATGGGGTTATCGCAGCTATGGTGGTTATGGCAGCTATGGTGGCTATGGTGGCTATGTAATATGGTGGTTATGGCTGCTATGGTGGCTATGGCAGCTATGGTGGCTATGGTGGCTATGGTGCCTATGGCAGCTATGGTGGGTATGGTGGCTATTGCGGCTATGGTGGCTATGACAGCTATGGTGGTTATGGCAGCTATGGTGGCTATAGCAGCCTGTAATAGCTGTAGCTATGGTGGCTATGGAGGCTACAGCAGCTATGGTGGCTATGGCAGCTGTAATGGCAATAGCATCTATGGTGGCTATGGTGGTTATGCAGCTATGGTAACTATGGCAACTATTATGGCTATTGCAGCTATGGTGGCTATGCCAGCTATGGCAGCTATGGTGGCTATGGAGGCTACGCTTGGCTGGTGGCTATGGCAGCTATAATGGCAATGGCAGCTATGGTGGCTATGGAGGCTACGGCAGCTATGGTGACTATGGCAACTGTGTGGCTGTTGCAGCTATGGTGGCTATGGTGGCTATGCAGCTGGTGGCTATGGTGATTATGGCAGCTATGGTGGCTATGGCAGCTATAATGGCTATGGCAGCTATGGCAGCTATGGTGGCTATGGCAGCTATAATGGCTATGGCAGCTATGGCGGCTATGGGAGCTATAATGGCTATGGCAGCTATGGTGGCTATGGTGGTTATGCAGATATGGTGACTATGGCAACTATTATGGCTATTGCAGCTATGGTGGCTATGGTGGCTATGGCAGCTATGGTGGCTATGACAGCTATAAAAGGCTATGGTGGCTATGGTGGTTATGGCAGCAGACTCTCGTGAAATAGAAGTATTTTTGTTTTATGGTCTTATGACTCTGTGGATATTAGTTCATACAGTATATAGGAGACTTGTTGGTCATTATTGGCGTCGATCACTTAAGTTATATTAATATTTGTCGGTTCATTCTACTGTTGTGCTTGTTTATGTTTGTTGGGGCAGCCATTAGCCGTTCAACGCCCCTTTAATGTCTCCCGGTAGAGGGGGAGGGAAGAGGGGTATAGTACAACACTGATCCTTTAAACACTGAAGTATATTGAAGGAGCCGTAAAAAGTCGATTCACCTGAGAAATATCTGGCAGGTTGCATATATCACATAGAGATTATTGTTCATTTAATGGTTCTTCTTCGGGTCAAGCCGGAGGTGGTATTACAGTCTAAGCAACAACTCTCCATAAGTAACACCCACTACGTCTCCAAAAGTAACACCCACTACATCAGTTCTCTATGAGTAACACCCACTACATCAGTTCTCTATGAGTAACACCCACTACGTCTCCATAAGTAACACCCACTACATTAGTTCTCTATGAGTAACACCCACTACGTCTCCATAAGTAACACTCACTGCATCTAAATAAGTAACACCACTACGTCTCCAAAAGTAACACTCACTGCATATCCATAAGTAACAACCACGGCGTCTCTATAAGTAACACCCACTGCGTCTCTATAAGTAACACCCACAGCATCTCCATAAGTAACACCCCTGTATCTCTATAAGTAACACCCACTGCATCTCTATAAGTAACACCACTGCATCTCTATAAGTACCACTGCGTCTCTATAAGTAACACCACAGCATCTCCATAACACCAACTGTCTCTCCATAAAGTAACACCCACTGCGTCTATATAAGTAACAGTCACGCCGTCTCCGCCGTACTTACCCACACACGTCTCAATAAAGTAACTGCAAATCTCCGCCAATAACACCCACCAGTCTCCATAAGTAACACCCACTGCCATCTCTATAAGTAACACCACTGTATCAGTACTCCATAAAGTAAACACCCTGCTAATTCTCAATAAAGTAACACCCACTGTATCAGTTCTCTATAAGTAACACCCACTGCGTCTCTGTAAGTAACACCCACAGCATCTCCATAAGTAACACCCACTGCGTTTCCATAAGTAACACCCACTGCATCTCTATAAGTAACACCCACTGCGTCTCTATAAGTAACACCCACTGCATCTCCACAAGTAACATCCACTGCTTCTGTATAAGTAACACCCACTGCTTCTCTATAAGTAACACCCACTGCATCTCAATAAGTAACACCCACTGCGTCTCCATAAGTAACACCCACTGCATCTCCATAAGTAACACCCACTGCATCTCCATAAGTAAAACCTACTGCTTCTCTATAAGTAACACCCATTGCTTCTATATAAGTAACACCCACTGTAACTCTAAAAGTAACGCCCACTGTATCAGTTCTCTATAAGTAACACCCACTGTATCAGTTTTCTATAAGTAACACCCACTTCATCTCCAAAAGTAACACCCACTGTATCAGTTCTCTATAAGTAACACCCACTGCGTCTCTATAAGTAACACCCACTGCGTCTCTATAAGTAACACCACTGCGTCTCTATAAGTAACACCCACTGCATCCTCCATAAGCAACACCCACTGCGTCTCCATAAGTAACACCCACAGCATCTCTGTAAGTAACACCCACTGCTTCTCTTTTAGTAACACCCACTGTATCAGTTCTCTATAAGAAACACCTACTGCATCTCCATAAGTAACACCCACTATATCTCTAAGAGTAACGCCCACTGTATCACCTCTCTATAAGTAACACCCACTGCGTCTCCATAAGTAACACCCACTGTGTCTCTAAAAGTAACACCCACTGCATCTCCATAAGTAACACCCACTGCGTCTCTATAAGTAACACCCACTGCATCTTCATAAGTAACACCCACTGTATCTCTAAAAGTAACACCCACTGTGTCAGTTCTCTATAAGTAACGCCCACTGCATCTCTATAAGTAACACCCACAGCATCTCCATAAGTAACACTCACTGCGTCTCCATAAGTAATACTCCCTGCGTTTCCATAAGTACCACCCACAGCATCACTATAAGTAACACCCACTGCGTCTCCATAAGTAACACCCACTGCATCAGTTCTCTATAAGTAACACCCACTGCATCTCTATAAGTTACACCCACTGCGTCTCTGTAAGTAACACCCACTGCGTCTCTGTAAGTAACACCCACTGCATCTCCATAAGTAACACCCACTGCGTCTCCATAAGTAACACCCACTGCATCTCCACTTAAGTAACACCACTGCATCTCTGTAAGTAACACCCACTGCATATCTATAAAGTATTAACACCCACTGCGTCTCTACTTAGTAACACCCCTGCGTCTCCACCAAAGTAACACCCACTGCTTATCATTCTCTATAGATAACACCTATTGCGTCTCTATAAGTAACACCCACTGCATCTCCATAAGTAGCACCCACTGCGTCTCTATAAGTAACACTCAGTGCATCTCCATAAGTAACACCTACTGCATCTCCACAAGTAACACCCACTGCGTCTCTGTAAGTAACACCCACTGCATCTCTATAAGTAACACCCACTGCATCTCCATAAGTAACACCCACTGCGTCTCTATAAACACCCACCATCTCCATAAAGTAACACCCACTGTATCAGTTCTCTATAAATTAACACCTATTGCATCTATAAGTAACACTCACTGCATCTCATAAGTAGCACCCTGCATCTCTATAAGTAACACCCTGCGTCTCTATAAATATGCCTCCTGCGTCTCCATAAGTAACTCCACATCTCTATGAGTAACACCCACTGCATCTCTATAAGTAACACCCACTGCATCTCTATAAGTAACACCCACTGCATCTCTATAAGTAACACCCACTGCATCTCTATTAGTAACACCACTGCGTCTCCACATGCTTACCACCGTCTCCATAAGTAACACCCTGCGTCTCCACCAAAGTAACACCCACTGCGTCTCCATAAAGTAACACCACCGTCTCCATAAGTAACACCCATTATGAGTTCTCTACCAATTCCCACCCTGCGTCTATAAAGTGACACCCACTGTATCAGTTCTCCTATAAAATGCTTCCACCTATTGCATCTCTAAGTAACACCCACTGCATCTCCATAAGTAACACCCACTGCATCTCTATAAGTTACACCCACTGCGTCTCTGTAAGTAACACCCACTGCGTCTCTGTAAGTAACACCCACTGCATCTCCATAAGTAACACCCACTGCGTCTCCATAAGTAACACCCACAGCATCTCTATAAGTAACACCCTCTGCATCTCTATAAGTAATACCCACTGCGTCTCCATAAGTAACACCCACTGTATCAGTTCTCTATAAAGTAGCACCTATTGCATCTCTAAAGTATCACCCATCTCCTGCATCTTACCCACTGCATCTCTATAATGCTTTAGCATCTCGATAAGTAACGCCCTGCGTCTCCGCAAAAGCAACACCCACTGCGTCTCTATAAGTAACACCCACTGCGTCTCTCGTAACACCCATTGCGTCTCTATAAGTAACTTACCCACTGCGTCTCTATAAAGTAACACCCACCGTCTCTATAAGTAACACCCACCGTCTCTACCAGTAACACCCTGCGTCTCTATAAGTAACACCCACTGCATCTCTATAAGTAACACCCACTGCATCTCCATAAGTAACACCCACTGCATCTCTATAAGTAACACCCACTGCATCTCTATAAGAACCACCCACTGCGTCTCTATAAGTAACACTCACTGCATCTCTATAGGTAACACCCATTGCATCTCTATAAGTAACACCCACTGCGTCTCCATAAGTAACACCCACTGTATCAGTTCTCTATAAGTAACACCCACTGCATCTCCATAAGTAACACCCACTGCACCTCTATAAGTAACACCCATTGCGTCTCTATAAGTAACACCCACTGCATCTCCATAAGTAACACCCACTGCATCTCCATAAGTAACACCCATTGCGTCTCCATAAGTAACACCCACTGCGTCTCTATAAGTAACAACCGCTGGAACATCAACGGATAAGTAACAGTAACAGAGAAACGAGAGAAAGTGGTCAAGGTTGAATGAATGAAATGTTAAAAAAGATAATTTTAAGCTTGGTAGTTTAGTTAAGTGATTCAGGTCGTCTTCTCACTGTCACTCCCTCTCTGGCTCCCTCTCTCACACACTCACACTCTCCCTCTCTCCCTTACTCACTCCCTCTCTGGCTCCCTCTCTCACACACTCACACTCTCCCTCTCTCCCTCCCTCTCTGGCTCCCTCTCTCACACACTCACACTCTCCCTCTCTCCCTTACTCACTCCCTCTCTGGCTCCCTCTCTCCTCTCTCTCCTCTCCCTTACTCCCTCTCTGGCTCCCTCTCTCGCTCCCTCTCTCACACTCTCCCTCTCTGGCTCCCTCTCACACACTCACACTCTCCCTCTCTCCCTTACTCACTCCCTCTCTGGCTCCCTCTCTCGCTCCCTCTCTCACACACTCCCTCACTCACTCCCTCATACCCTTCCTCTCTCTCTGCCCTGGCGACCTTCTGCATGAGTCAGGGAAGGTTAGCAATATCCCTCGTATGTTTTCCTGCTAGACGCTGGGAAGGTGTTGGTGCTACACCTTACACAGGAGCCCACGCGGTGCACAATAAACTGGCCTCCGTGCTGGTCTTATCTGAAATTCTCAAATCCTGTTGCATCAGCCTTCAGTGCCAGCCAGCTGTAAGAACATATGTTGTGTGATTACGTCTAGGTGTGTGTGTGTGTGTGTGTGTGTGTGTTCCATTAAGCCTGGGGGATTTAATTTGATTTTTATTTTGCAGCTTACAGCGGCTACTCTATTGTGCACCCCACACTCATCCTGTGAGCGGTAACATAAAAGGATTACAGAGTAGAGTTTACAACGGGTCATAATAATTAACCCCCGTTGTCAGGATATTATGGCACTGATTGTTACACAGTATTTC